GTTTCATCAACAAGCCAAAGGCTGTTCTCCTGAAGTCCAGGATTTTTATTCTGCTGTTTGCCCTACTCACTTCCCTCAAGATCTTAACTTCATAGCCTTGAAGTCACTTCTACCAAAGCTGTCTGCCCTTGATCTCCACACTGCCAACTAGCTCCTCATTTCTGAGTAGCAAATCCTGCACCTGGGTCAAAAAAAAAATGCTCTTGAGGCACTGCAGAAATTTCCTGAATTGCTTTTAGCTTGGCAGATTACCCTTCCAGATGTCAGAGTGGCCTTGAGTCCTTAAGAGAGCCTAGGCCTATAGCTGTGAGGTTTCTTCCAGTTGTTTAAAGGCTTCATCTACTTCCTCCTCCTGACCAAGCAACGCCCAATGTCCTCCTTGCTGGTCTCCCCACTGATCCCAGCTCATCAGATCCCAACTGGTTTGTCGTTCATTCCAAAGCAGGGCAAAGCTCTGTGCAAACCAGACACTCCTTTGCGCAGAAAATTTGTTGTTTTCCCTGCCTGTTCTTCCTAAACAGCTTGTATCCTTCTATCCCAGCGCTCATCATGTGAGCTATCCCACCACGCCTCTGTGATCCCAATGAAGCTGCAGCTCTGCAACCGTGCACAGGTTTCTAATTCCTCCTGTTTGTTTCCCATGCTGTGTGTTCACACATAGTCACAACACCTACTTGGGGCAACTGAGCGAGCCTACTGCAGCTTGATCTCCCCCGGCCAATTCCTTCAACTCGTACTTCTCCTGGAGGTTGTTTCCACCCCCGTCGTTTCCCCAGTTGTAGAACTTTATTTTAACTCCGAGGCTAAAGCACAGATTATTTTAAAAAGGAACTGCTCCCAGTTATCACGGTAGGGTGGGGAAATAACCAACAAGTGAGTACGCTTTCCATTCCTCAGAAAGAACGTAAAATTCATAGCATTATTTGCTTAGAAGCTCAGCTATGATAAACCAGAATCATTACTAGAAAAAAATGTTGTTTTGGCTTTTTTCCATTAGTTATTGCAGAAAGGTTTTTTTTTTATTTTTTAAATAGGAATCAACATTTGCCTTCCTATTGGAAGCACAGCAGTGTTAAACCACTGCCCATCTGCTACAAAACAGGCAATCTGCACTGAAGATTAGAAGAATGTAATCAATTTGTTCACCGAACTGTAATTTAAAGGGGAAGCATTTTGCTTCAACTTAAAAAATGAGTCTGAAAATTGATATAAAACTGAGTAATTAAACAGAATAGCAAAAATTTCTGATCAACAAGGAAAAATCAAAACGCTCTTCGTATATTATTTTTTAATGTTATATCCTCAAACAGGGCTGTCCAGCACTGTGATATCTGTTCTTCTCCTAAGCTGCTCTTTAAGTAAAAGTGACCAGTAAGCAGACATAAACCAGTATCATTATATACACAGGACAAGGAAGGACAGTAAATTGCTTTGCTTAACAGATTGCTTGCAATGCAAAGCAGGATATACTTTTTAAAAGCTCCACTGCTGATTAAAAGTAAACATTTCATGTCGTAATTGTTAACATAAAAATAGCTGAATAAAAATAAACTCATGGAGGTGTGCAATAAATTTAGTTTAATTCAGGTCCTTGATCATTTCAAACCTGGTTACAATGCAGCACGTATTATTGGTATTTTTAGAGCATTTTGTTTAATCTCCATCGACATAGCAATGTAGATAATAACCACCAAATACCTTTGGTATTTCTCTATTATTCTCGGATTACCTGAAACATCAAATACCTCTGTAGCACAGACTTGATTTTAAATGGTAACTTCATGTATGTCATGGGTTATTCAACTGTTTTTCAAGTATGTAATACTCCTGCAAAGCTGAGAACTCAGTTCATCAAGAAAATCTTGGAATAGTTACTATTTTAATGATGGTAGGTAATATATGTAATTTCAAGCTTTCCTTTCTTCTTCTAGAGTTCTGCTTGAAAAGCTTAATATATTTCAATCATACCAACAGATTTACAGTTTAAAAATTAGAATTATGTATTTTTTTCATATTTTTCAAGCAGAGCTTTGTGATTTTATGTACTACCAGGTACCAGCTTTTTTTCTCATGACTGAATTACATAGAGGGCAACATGGTTTACAAATTAAGCAAGGGTAACATTACTTATTGCTTTAAAATACCACCAAAGGTAACTGGATTGAATATAATAAACCAGTTTTTCTAAACATATTATCAAAATAATGGAAAACAACTTGCAACAGATGCAAAATGGATGAAACTATATTGGATAAGAACTACTATTAGCCAAATACAAACACAGCTCTTGTAGGAATGAATTTAAGTTTTATGCCTGCATATAACCCCCAAAGTCAAAGAAATATAGTCTAGGAAAAAATATGAACTAATGAAATGCATTTAACGGCTCGAGGAATCGAGGACATACGCAGGCAGGAAAGAGCCAAGATTCTGTACCTAACTGTGTGATCAGTGCACATGCGTATTCCCTGGAGAATCGCTCTTACTTCTGACAAGCTGGCAAGTACAAACGCTTTAAAAACTGAGCTTTACTATTTCTGTATATGACTGTGCATGGTGGGTAGGTGTATGTTCCCGGGAAGTTGCTCCGTCTCCGATACTCTGACAAGCACAGCGTTCAGGAACTTTTAATTTTTTTTGAACTTTCTTTCTAGGCAACCCAAACCGACGTTGTCAAAACTATGTCTTCCATGCCGGAGGACTTAACAGCACAGTGATTCAGACAGCGTGAGCTAAAAACCACTGGAGCTGAAGGGAGCTGAAGCACTGGCAACTTCAGGGTGCAAAACTGAAATTTTCCCTACGGTTCCAAACCGAGAGTTTACCTAAGCAACCTGCGGCTAATCTTTAACACTAACAGATCATCTGGCGACTACTGTTTTTATAAGAGAATAAGGAAGAGGAATTCAAGGCCAAAGTGCTCAGCTTTTGAGTCTAACGCCGCTCGCCCGGACGCTAAGGTGCTTCAGCGGAGCTCCGGCTAGGCCAGAGCCAGCCGCGCCCGGACACGAC